AAATAAATCTCTGAGGGCTTCAACAGAGAGTTGTTGTTGATGCTGGAACAGTTTGCAAAATTGTCTAATAAAACGTGGTAAGCATGCATGTGAATGGGGAAGTCTAGCTCCTGTTAGTTAATATCCTCAGGAGTGGCAAAACAAGAAAATATTCTGAAAGCAAAATATAAAATATTCTGAAAGGTCGCCAAAAACCAAACAGTTCAACATCTAATCAACKCTCTCAAAAGTAAAAACACTTTATTGCTTTTAGTGCAGCAGCTCAGTATGTAGATGCCATTTCTGCAACTGTTTATGTAATAACTTATAAAAAGACAGTAGTAAATGTATTTACTTTGTTTTGTTGTATTAACTACCATTGTTTTTCTCTATCATGTAGAACATTCTGTAAGCTTCACCAGCTCACCGTAGTGAATAAAAACAAGACAAACAAACAAAACTAATTTCATGTAATTACATTAATGTAAGGGGGTTTTATGTTTTGAAAAATCATCAGATTTAGGACTCAACTGCAATGACAGTCTTCCCACTAAACCTGTCTGTCTAGGTAAAAGCAAAAGCTGTTACCAAGAAACATAATACATTGAGATAACAATGAATCCTAATAATAGCACACTGAGACCATTTTGCTRATTAGTCCACTCCCAGATATTGATTTTTATATCCTGTCCAACCATTTCAAATGGTAGATGAGTAGACCACCTTGGAGTAATAACATCTTTGGGTAGGGTCCATCTGTGGAGGTGGCGCAGTAATAGTTTTTTATTAAATTTTCTGGCCAACAGTCACTTACTTATTATAGACTGAGCCTGAGCTGTAAAAGCAAATCGCTTCTGTAACAGGATAAGGTGTCTTTTCTTGTTTGCCCCTATAATGCAGGACAACAAGTTATTAGGATGACATTTGAAAATGCACTTTTTGTTTTTAAGGCTAAACACAAGCATTAAAATGTAAACTAAGATAAGGAAACATGCTATCCAAAGTGAGCTCTTTCAGTGACATCATCATTTATCTATATAATTGAAAATCAAGTGGTTGCTCTGTTCAATAACAGTCATTCTGCTAAAGAATAAAGCTGTAAATTGATGCTATTGACAGTTTGAGACAGACAAATTGAAACAAATTTTACCCTACTTATATTGCTTTGAGCCCACATGAAAAGTGGGTTTTGTAAGAACAAAATGGCTCATTTATTTAAAAAAAAAAGCCAGCAAATCATCTGTACTTTTCATGTTAGCCATGTCAGTGAGCATCACTTTTCAGATCAGCGGATCTCATTTTCTCGTTAATAAGGTTGAAAAAGTCAAAGGTGGCAGAAGTTTGTGAGGGTAATGGAGTTGTCAATGAAGGACATCGGTACAAATGAACAGTCTCATCATAAACATGTACGTTCTTCTGTTCTGATTGGTTGTAAACCTGAATATTTAGTTGTCTCTAGCTTCTCTATAGCTGATAATTAGGGCGTATAGACTTGCTGTGTCTGAATTATTTGCCTGTAAATGGCTGCAGTACTAAATCAGCGCCTTTCTTCTCTTTAAACAACCCATTATCCCTGTTTTTTTATGCCTTTATCCATTCGTCAGCATAAATGTGAAGCAAATAATCGACCTCTAAAAGCATAAATTGTGCTCGATTTCCCAACCCTACATGTTGCCAATCAGACACTCCAAACAGCTGCAGATGACATTATGTTTGTGAGTCTAAATGCTTTTTGGGCAAAAAAATGGCTTCAAAWCATCTGTAGTAGATAATGACTTGTCACTATGGTTCGGCCTATCATCCACGAATCTGCTGCCAGGGCTGCGTGTGGTCTCTGCTTTAATGAAGATGAAACATCTTTTGGACTTAATATTCACTGGCCATTGTTTCTTTTAGGTATGAATATAAGCTAAAGGAAGTCATTGATGGGGTTAAGTATTAATTTGAATTATGCTGACTTTTTTTTTATACTACCACATTTGTGTTTGCATTTGCAAGGGGAAAAATGCACTTTAGGATGCACTGGAGTGCATCTGTTTTTTCATCATGTTTAACCACTCAYGACTCTGTCAGAAAGCTATCCATGTTTCAGATGACCTCCTCCTCATCCGTACTATATTTTTCATTTACCACCATTCTTCTACAAATCTGTCTAAATGATTTTACAGATGTGCCCCACTTTTTATTAGCTTTATACTTTTTGTGTTTGCTCTGATGACTTCGTCTATGTACACACTGCAGGCAAATGCAACCCAAATCTGATAAAGTCACTAACCTTGAGTCATTCTGTTCGAATCTTGTAGCTCCATGCATTTCCAGCTAAAGAACAGATGTCCAGATGTTTCGTCGTTTTTCTTTTAATTTYTCATGTCCCGGATGACTTGGAATCCGCAGAAACATATGATAGTACAGTATAGTCGATCCTAAAGTTACTTGATGGATACTTTAGTTTTAGCACGTCGCTTCGTGCCAAAAAATAAAATGCTGCATCGGCGCATGCAGCCCAAGGCAGATTCAGATATAAACACTGAACTAAACAAGCGCGTCGGATAATTATTTAATTGGCTCAGATTGAACAACAACTTAAGAATCGACGCACTTAACAAGTAACATCCATGTTTAGCTAACTCTGTAAACAAACAGCAAGCTGAACGTGACGTCACATCTTTTTCTGCACATGTGGGTCACATCAGTGAGGTGTAAAGTCCACACTGGAGTCTGATGGAGCTCTCATTTAAAATATAATGTGAACAATCATGCTATGGTTCAGCCTTTTATGATGCAAACCCCATCAGTGTGTTTTCTCAGAAATATGCTGGTGGAGATTTTTAGTCATTCAGGATGTAATAAAGCAGCTGGAACATATATATATATATATATA